GGCGCCAGCTGCTGGGCCTGGCGCCGGTCTCCCGCAGGCCCCGGGGTGCAGCGGGTTTTGCGCACCGCATTGCTGTGGGTCTCTGCTACTGGGGCTGGCAACTCTGGAGAGCCGCTGTCAGCCACCCGGGTGGGTTCCATCCCAATTTCCACCGAGCACTCCCTCAGGGTTCAAGATCCGTCAGCTGCCGGGTCACGACGGGAGGTGCAGGACGGCGAAAGCAGGGCTTCCGTGAGCCGTGGCTTATGAAGAGACAGCTCTCTCCGGCAAGACTGGATCGTAGGCAGTAAGACACAGAACTCAGCTCAGTACAGCTCCTTTATTCAGTGACTCAGCTCGGCTCCAGGTCTTAGTGATTCAGCTCTGATTAATTAGGGGGAAAACAGGATATTTATACTGTGGGGGCAGTGGCAAAAGCCTTAGTGGATAGGTGCTTTCAGGATGCCCCATTTACATGTGGTGGTGGGCTTCTGCCAGGCTGCCAGACATTGTCTGATTATCACACAGGAAAACCTGGTAGTTCCTATGCCAGAGGCCATGTTTTTGGTAGGGCATCTGTGGCGGCCACTTCAAAAGGTGAGTCAGGAAGAGAGTAGGAAGGCACCCTGCTGATAAAAGGAGTCTCTGCATTGAACGCCGAGCCCGTGGGCTATCCCGACATGGAGAGACTGCTACTTTACACAACAGGGGTCCCCAACAGGCAGAAAGAATGTTAAGCCAGATAATGAGGAGGGCCATGAAACACAGTCTTAGAGGTGTGTCATCGCCATGGCACTCATGAACTCATAGTGGGTATGGTTGCCTGCATAGGGTCTGCACAATACTGAGCTTACAAACTTTCAGCCACAAATGGAGGAGTCATAAGTCCCAGCCACACCCAGGGGAGCTATTAGCAGTTGAGAGCTGCTGGTGGAGGGACAGTCTTTGTCTAAATGAGGTAGTCACTGGTGAGTTACCTGTGCTTCTATGACTAATTCCATACCCACACCCATGGGGTGTGGGTGTGGGTTGTGCAGTCATGGTTAAATCCAGTAGGTCACAAAGGAAAAGCAAAAACAAAACAAAAAGGCATGAAAATAAGGTTGGTGGGGCTGGAAAGATGGCTCAGCAGTTAAGAACACTGGTTGTTCTTGCAGAAGACCTGGGTTTGAATCCCAGCACCCACATGGCAGCTAACAACTATCTGTAACTCCAGTTCCAGGGGATCCAACAGCTTCTTCTGTCCTCTGCAGGCATTGCATGACATGGTGCACTTACCTACATGCAGGCAATACACACGTACACATAAAATAAAAATAATAAAGAAAATATTTTTTAAAAAAAGTAAGGTGGAGATTTGATGAGAGGAGGGAGGATAGTATATATATATAAATAGTCAAAGAATAGATTTTTTTTTGGAGACAGGGTCTTTCTGTAGGCCCAGCTGGCCTGGACTCACTTTGTAGACCAGGCTGACCTTGAACTAACAGAGATCTGAGTACCTCTGCCTCCTGAGTGCTGAGATCAAAGGCATACACCACCACGCCCAGCAAATTAATTACTTGTAAAGATGTAGAGGAGGCTGGAGACACGGTTCAGCAGTTAAGAGCACTGGCTGCTTTTACAGAGGACCCAGGTTCGATTCCCAGCACCCACATGGCAGCTAGCAACTGTCCATAACTCCAGTTTCAGGGGATCTGAAGCCCTGGTCTCACCTCTGCAGGCATTGCACAACATGGTTCACTTACATTCATACACACAAAATAAATACATTTTTTAAAAAATGTAGAGAAACAGAAACCCTCATATCTCATTGTGTGGAATGTAGGTGGTACAGCCACTGTAGAAAGCCCAAGCAACAGTTTTTCAAAACGTTAAATTGAATTAACATACGATCCATAGAATTCAATTCTAGATGTACACTTCACAGAATTGGAAGGTAGAAATCAAGAACCTAGGCCAGTATTCCTGGCAAAATTATCCACCAGCATGAAGCACTGAGTCACAATGCAGATGAACCTAAAGCCAGTGTGCTAAATGAAATAAGCCAGACAGACACGTGTTTCAGAATTTGATTTCTCCAAATACCCAGACTAGCTGAATTCATTAGGACAGGAAGACAGAGGCAGAAGGGAGAGGGCAATGAGAAATAATCCATTAGTGGGTGATTTCAGTTTATAGCAATGAAAAAGAAATGGGTCATGGTCACGGTCACTGTGAGTCAAAGCTCCCAGAAAAACCTGCACCTTCAACTGACGCTCCTGAAAGGCTGATCAGCTATTCAGAACTTCAGTGATTATGGAGTTTGGAATGTTGCAGGTTCAGAACCTAAGTTACAGTTTATCTTAGGCCCTCTTTAGCCCCCTAAATAGCCATTCCTTGGCCACCTCTGTGTCTGACGTAACATCCTGTGACTAACAGATAAAAAAACCCTTGGACTTTATTAACTTAGCAGACCACCAACCTCCACCAACTCAAGGGCTAAGAAACCCATCAGATAGCATTTCAGGCTTATAGCAGAATTCTCCCTGCTCTGATGTCTCCACCAATGGACCTGGAAAATGTCCTGATTTATGGCTTTCTTTGTTCTGTTACTATAAAACCTTCATGAAGCTGTTACCATGTTGGAGCATGGAATTTTGGGTAACTTGAATCTGTGTTCCTGGGTCATGGTCACTCATATTTGACTTCAGAAAAAACTATCCCTTTTCCTCTTTGAGGTGAGAGCTGTGCTTTTTCGTCAACATCACGCAACCATGTATTACTATCCAATGCTACATACTAGACACTCACAAAAAGGTAAAAGGGATAAATGTTTATTTTACCACAAAAACTTAGGCAACAAGAAATGAGAAAATATGCTCTTAATAGCCCCACTAACAGCTGCATAAGCAAAAAAGATCTACTCAAAAATCATGCATTACTTGCCATCTTGCATTTGTGCAGAGAAATATAAATTACTTTCAGTCATACTGATCAAAACGGAAGCAGGTGCAAGCATAAACTTTGGTGACTTAAATGAATTTTCAGAAAAGTAAAAAAAATTATGATCAAGATATGTAGTAATAAGGTATTACATATTCTATTAAAGATAATTGTAACATACAAAAATTGAATTTGTTTATATTGTTCCCCAGGGATCACTTTTTTGGGGGGGGTCTTTCTGAGACAGGGTCTCCCTGTAGCCCCAGCTGGCCTGGAACTCGCTATGTAGACCAGGCTGGCCTTGAACTCAGAGATCTGCCTGTCTCTGGCTGGGACTAAAGGCGTGCGCCACCATGCCCTGCATAATCACACATTTTTTAAAGCAAAAACCACTTTGTATTTATAGTTTCTGTAATGGTATTGGGGGACAGTGCTAGAGGCTAAGCTCAGGCATTGCAAATACTAGGCAACTGATTCATCACTGAGCTGTATCCCGGCTCTCCTTGCTTTTTGAAAAAGAGCTCTGAATTTCTGCTTTGATGTGGTCAGAGACAGACACACAGACAGAAAGACACATAGAAAGACAGTGACAGAGACAGAGACACATACACAGAGACAGAAATAGTGACAGATATGCAGAGAGACAGAGAGACAGTGATAGTGACAGAGAGACAGAGACAGAGATGACAGAGACAGACAGAAGATACAGAAAGTGGGAGACAGAGATAGAGACACAGAGAGACAGAAGGGCTGAGACAGCGACAGAGACAGACATTGACAGAGACACAGAGACAGAGAGACAGACACAGACACATAGAGAGATAGAGTGATGACAGAGACACACAGAGACAGAGACATATGTAGAGACAGAGAAAGACACAGAGAGAAACAGGAACTGACTGATTTGGAATGTGTGTTTTATAATGCTGGGTGGTATTTTCACCACATTTTCTTTTTAATTGACACAATAATTGCACATACTGTTTTTATTTTCCCCACTACCTTCCTGGAGTTTAAGTCTTTAGAGGATGAGGACATTTAATGCATTGATTATTTTCTATGGGGCTTTCTTGACATTTGAGAAAAAAACTTAATGGTTTGTTTAGTCCATAGCAATATTGTTTTTGTAGATATTCTTCTCATGACTAAGAGCAAGCTACCATCTGAAAGTGAAGTCCAAACAGTAAGCATTTGTCCTAAAGCCTAGAATCTTCAATACTTTCTGATAAACTCCTAGACTTGTTTTATAAATACTTTTTATTATTTTTATTTTATGTGTATGCGTGTATTGCCTGCATGTAGGTAAGTGCACCTGCATTGTGCAATGCCCACAGAGGACCGAAGAGGCTGTAGGATCCCCTGGAACTGGAGTTAGGGACAGTTGTTAGCTGCCATGTGGGTGCTGGGATTCGAACCTGGGTCTTCTGCAAGAACAGCCAGTGTTCTTAACCGCTGAGCCATCTTTCCAGCCCCTGACTCCTCGACTTTTAACTGACTCTAAGGAAAAAATATCACCAGAGCTGTGTTCCCAGAATGGGGCTCTGGCCACCTGCAGGTCTCGGGATCGCAGATCCGGTCCTGCGGTGTAAACACACTGTTTTGATAGATGGGGAAATTCCCATTTCAGGATTGCTGCCAGATGGGAAGATTGGAATCAGAGTCATGGAGGGACCCAGGCAGAGGCTGGGCCTCAAACCTCAAACCCGAGGCACACTGGCGCTTAGGCTCTGACAACCTGTTGATGAAGGTGACCCGGGTTCGGCCACCTGAGCCTTGCACACACCCTCCCAAGTCTCCCCTGGACAGTTGGAAACTGGCTCAGGGGTGTGGCTGTGACCTTGGGACAGAGCTATCTAGTCCAGAAGCTAAGTTTGGAGGAGCCAGTGGTTCACAGGCTGGGGATCAGAATCCTGGGGCTCCTGGCTAACCCTCCTGGGAGTGCCCACATCCCCCTCCAACTCGCAGGGTCCACTGGGAGGGTAGTCCCCTCTTAGTCCATCCCCAGACAGGCCCTCCCATGGCCTCACCTTTGTCCTCTCTAATCGCTCTGATCTGCTCCCAGCCTCCATGGCTGTGTTTAAAGTCCACCTCTGGGGAACACAGACAGTGTTCCCGGCAATCCTAGCCGGCTCCTTCCCCACACCCGGCCACTGGGCTGTGTTGTGTCCCAGGGCTTCCTGGCACCCTGGCTGGGGTGGGGGCCAAGCGCAGCTTCTTACCTCTGTGCAGGATGCAGCTGCCCCGCGCCATCTTCATCCTGTGGCTCGGCCTGGTGGGCGGCCTGGCTCAGAGTGACCCCAGCCTCAAGGCAGAGGAATCCTACTCGGACTGGGGCCTGCGGCACCTCCGGGGCAGCTTTGAGTCAGTCAACAGCTACGTTGACTCATTCATGGAGCTTCTGGGAGGGAAGAATGGAGTCTGTCAGTATCGGTGCCGATATGGTGAGTGCATCTTCTTTTTCTGTAAAAACTTTCTCTGGGACGGGAGGTCCAGCAGGTCACCACCTGCTCTCTTTCTCCCATTGGCCAGATTGAGCCTAACACAGGATGTCTAATGACAGCAGAAAGTAGACATCTAATTGGTGAAAGGATGCCCAGTGTAAGATTTGGGATATATGTACTCTGACAAATTCCACTGAGCTTTCTGGGAAACTTTTGCTGGGGTCTTTTATGAGTTTGTTGTGAGGCAGGGTTTATTTTTTGGGTTTTTTTTTTAAGCTGGGCGGGGAGAGAGGGGGTGCTGGGAAAGGATGTGGGGGGTCTGTGAAGGACTCCTGGGGAAGAAAACTGAGTATGATGGTAGAAGGAGATTCTCCCCAGGGTTAAACAACCTCCTCAGCAGCTCTGAAACTGGAAAGGACTCTGCCTTTCTCTGGTAGGCCTATAGTGGGTAGCACTTTGCCTGGGCTCTTCCAAGGAAGCAGTTCCTGTGTTGCCCCAGTTACCTGTGGCACCACATCATTGATCAGACTTGCCTGTTGCCCACCAGGGGTCCCAAGCTCTGTAGGCAGCCAGACACCAGAGGCAGAGTTGGGAGCTGGGGCGGGCACCCTTTACCTTGCCTGAGTTGCAAAGCCAGCTTGCCCAACAACTGGGCCTATGGCCAGTTTCCCCTTTACTCTCCTCTGAAATCAAGAATCAGAACTGAATCCCCAGCCCCGGACCTGGCAGTCCTGGCTGTGACTGAAAACCTTTGTCTTTAGTGTGCCGCTAGGAATTTAATTCAGGCCTCGTGTACTAAGTATATGTAGTCTGCCACTGAGCTGCACCCCCAGGCCTGAAAAGTACTCTTTAAAAGCACACACGTGCTTGTTATGGTGGTGCAGCCTTTAATCCCAGCACTCAGGAGGCAGAGGCAGGGTGGATCTTTGTGAGTTCCAGGCCAGCTGGGGCTACAGGGAGACTGTGTCTCAAAAAGACCAAAAAAAAAAAAAAAAAAGCACAAGTGCGTGGGGCTAGAGAGAGGGTTTAGGAGTTAAAAGCACTGGCTGCTCTTGCAGAGGTCCAGGGTTTGATTCTCAGCACCCACATGGTGGTTACAAACGGTCGGTAACTGTAGTTTTAGGGGAATCAGACGGCCTCTTCTGACCTCCAAGGCATTACATGACACGGATGCACTCACATACATGCAGGCAATACACTCATACACATAAAATAAAAATAATAGTATGTATATATATTTTAAAAAAGCACACACTCAGATTCCTCTGGTGGTTTAGTTTATGCAAAGGCCCCTCAAGGAATTAGAAGCAAAATGTCCATTTTGCCCAGCAGGGAAACAGGCTGGAGAAAAACTTTCTTCAAACACTCAGCAGATAAAGCAACTTTCCTGAGAGACTCAAAACAGTGGCATCGTACTTGTTGGATTTATACCTACATCTCTGGCCCTCATCTTTGGGAAGAGGAAAATGGCTTCCTTAGATACTGAGTGACCAACCAGGAGATAATGCTTAAACCATTGCTCCCAACAGGTTTAACCACACAGAGACACAAGCAAAAAGCCACTGCATCTCACTGTGCAAACTTCACAGGGTCAAATCCTGAACCCTTCCCTTTCATATTTGACCAAGGTGGGCTGGATAAATTCAGAGGCCTTGTCACTGGGTTAGTTAGGTCCACCTAGTTTGCCTTGGGGAGGCAGGAAAGGGTTAATGCCACATGTTTCAGTCAACACAGGTATTTTAACTACTACCTGAGGTTTAGCAAATATGTAACAGTGGGATTTTAAAAACTGTGAACCAAACCTTAATTCTTCCTTCTCTGGCAAAATGGCACCAAAAGATTTCAGCAAATGTTGCTTTGGAGCCTCTGGCCAGGGCAGGTGACAGCAGCAACTGGTGGGGGGTGGGGATAGTCAACAGAACAGGAAGGCAAATAACGTTTACCAAAACAGAAGCTGCCCAAGGAGGGGCCTGAAAAACAGCAAAATAGAGGGTGCAGTTGCACTGTCTGTTACCTTTGGGATCCGGCGGGGGAAGGAACCCTGAGGCTGTACCCAAACAGGATAAAATATCTTCTCAAACGGATTGTGAATCAAGCAATCTTTTGACCAGATCACACCTAACCCCTAACTGCATCTGCTCCTGTTTAGTTTGCTCTGTGATATGCCGCTGGCATTCAAGTCCATTCCCTGCGACCCCACTTAGGTAGCATATTTAAAAGGCTTGCTGGCTCCACCTCTTTCATTTCTGATTGACAAATCTGGGGTGGGGCCAGATGATTTATAGTTGCATATCAGGTGGTCTTGGAGCCACATTGAGGAAATGAATCAAGCAAACTAACCAGCCCACCAACCCACCAACCTACCTTAAAATCTGCAATCTTTTACTACAAAGAATAGTTTAACAAAAAGTCTACAAGAAAAAAAGTGGGGGTTGGAGAAATGGTTCGGTGGTTAAGAGCACTGGCTGCTCTTGAAGAAGACTGGGATTGAATTCCCAGCACCCACATATTGGCTAACAACCCTCTGTAACTCCAGTTCCAGAGGATCCGGCACCCCGTTCTGACCTCCATAGGCATTGCACTTCACAGGCACACTTAGGTAGGCAATACACTCATACACATAAAGCAAAAAAAAAATATTTTTTAGAAAAAAAGTCCTATCACAGGTGTAAAATGTCAGGTACTTGCCACTTTCTAAAGCTGGCCGTGTATTAGCATCATCTGGGGAGGTTTGCAAAGTCTCACATCAAACCAATTAAGTTGGAACTGCTGTGGGTTAGACCCAGACATCAGATTTTAATGTTGTCAGGTGATTACAAAGCCATCCCAAGTAAAGGTACACTATTCCAAGATGGGGCTCTTTAATGCTTCAGCCTCTAGCCTTAACTAGTAGAGCAGGTAAAGGGTGTTTGCTCTTCCACAGTGGGGCATGTGTGTTGTGTTCCCCACTTCTGATGTTTAAAGCAGTTTGTTTTTATGCCAACACACATAAGCTGTCAAAGGACTGTACAGGTGATATATACAATTCATTGTGAGTCAGTGATGCTGAAAGCTAGCTGACCGGGAAAAGCCTGTGTCAGCGGGACAAGAGTTCCTGAGAATCTTTGTTATAGAGTTCTTTATCGTCACAGAGATTCTGTATGAGAACTCCTAAACTTCTTTGGTTCTTTTATTCTCTGTGTATGTGTGTGTGTATGTGTGGACACACATGTGCCACAGCTCCTATGTGGCGTTCAGAGGACAACTTGCAGGAGTTGGTTCTTTCCTACTGCGCGAGTCCTAGGAATTCATGGTCACCTTTACCCACTGAGCCATCTTGCCAGCCCTTAGGCTGTACTTTTGAGGCTGGGCAGCTAGGGATTGAACCTTGGGCCTGAGGTTGGGCAGCTAGGGATTGATCCCAGGGCCTCATGGATGCCAGGCATGTACTCTATCATGGAGCCACACCCCAGCACATTCAGCTACACATTTTTTTTTTCTTTTTTGGTCTTTTTTGAGACAGGGTCTCCCTGTAGCCCCAGCTGTCCTGGAACTCACTATGTAGACCAGACTGGCCTTGAACTTACAGAGATCCACCTGCCTCTGCCTCCTGAATGCTGGCACTAAAGGCATGTGCCACAATGCCTGGTGGAGTTACACTTTTAACAGTCTTTGACCAGACTTTGAAAAATCTTAGGGACAGAAATATCATGGGTTGAATTTGGAGGAAAATCCATTGCTGGTGAACTTGGATGAGGTTAACTCTTTCCAACAACCTCAGTGTGTGTGTGTGTGTGACAGCAATCTAAAGAAAAAAGGTTAAGCTGGGTATAAATATGTGGAACATACCTGAAATCCCAGCACTGGGGAGGCTGAGGCAGGAGGATTGCTACAAGTTCAAGGCCAGCCTGGGCTATATAAAAGACCTTGTCTAAAAAACACTTGTCCTTAATAGATACCACATGCCATTGTGTAAGGACATGGTTCTTTACTTTAGCGTACGTTTGAACCACCTGGGAGCACACAGTCCCAGTGCCAAACCAATGAAGACAGAAACTCCCAAGGATAAGTGTGTGTATGTGTATAGCAATGGGTGATCCTGACTATCAACTTGACAAGATTTAAAATCACCTAGAAGACACACCTCTGGGTACATCTATGAGGGTGTTTGCAGAGAGGCTTAACTGACCTACCCTGAATGGGCTGGGGTCCCAGACTGAATAAAAAGGAGAAAATAGGGTATTCATCTCTCTCTGCTTCCTGACTATGAACACAGTGCAACCTGCTGCCTCACTCCTGCCACACCTTCCCCCGTGATGAGTCAGCTGTCCCTTCACACTGCGAGCCAAAGTAAACCCTTCATTTCTGAGATTGCCTTGGTCAGGTGTTTTGTCATAGCAACAAGTAACCAATACAGATAGGTAAAGAATGCTAATAATGCTTCATGAGGTTCTAGTGAGAATTAAAGACAGCACATTAAGGAATTTGTGTGGAGCATGGTAGGTCCCCACAGGTGTTGTGGATAGTAGGAAAGACAGTCTGGTGAGCCTGTTAGTCACATCCAGGTTCCAGGTGAATTCCTTCTTTGGTTTAGTTCCAAGGTGGGAAAATGTTTTTGAAGTATCTTTTAGTGATATTTTGAGGCTGGGCATGGTGGTGCACATCTTTAATCCTAGCACTCAGAAGGTAGATCTCTGTGAGTTTGAGCCCAGCCTCATCTACATAGCAAGTTCCATGCCAGCAAGGTGACATACTGAGACCCTGTCTCAAAAAATACTTTGAGTGGTACATAGTTGTAATCTCAGTTACTTGGGAGGTTGAGACAGGAGAAACTCAAATTCCAGTCTAGCCTGGCTATATAATGAGATCCCCTAAGTTCCCTCTCAACACCACCCCAGAAAAGGATCCTTAAACATCATTTTTCAAAAAATTGAGAAAAATTAGTGGTTATTTATGGAAAAAACATGAAGTTATGATCCATTTTGTGGTGAGAATGATAAAAGTCCATTTTAGACATTTTG